CCCCAATCAAAAAATGAACAAAGAATCTAACTAGATACTTAAAAGAAGACGTGCAAATGGCCAACAGATATATGAAAAAAATGCTCAACATCACTCATCTTTGGGAAAATGCAAATTAAAACCACAGTGAGTTATCACCTCCCACCTATTAGAATAGCTATTATCAAAAAGACAAAAAAAAAAAAAAAAAAAGTATTGGCAAAGGCGTGGGGAACAGGGATCACTTGTGCATTGTTGCTGGGAATGTAAATTAACATAACTATTATGGAAAACAGAATGGAGTTTCCTCAGAAAACTAAAAATAAAATTACCATATGATTCAACAATCCTGCTTCTGGGTTTGAATCCAAAAGAATTGAAGGCAGTACACCAAAGAGATATCTGCACTCCCATGTTCATTGCAGCATTATTCGCATATCTAAGAATTAGAAGGAACCTGGGTGTTCATTCTCAGATGAATGGATAAAGAAGACGTGGTATATGTACACGATGTAATGCCTTTGCTCATTTTTTGATTGGGGTATTTGTTTTCTTATTATGAGTTGTTTGAATTTCTTATATATTTTAGACAACAGCCCCTTAACAGATTGTTTTATTAGGTCTTAACAAAAGTGGGAAGGCCAGGTGCGGTGGCTCCTGCCTGAATCCCAGCACTTTGGGAGGCCGAGGTGGGTGGATCACGAGGTCAAGAGATTGAGACCATCCTGGCCAACATGATGAAACCCCATCTTTACTAAAAATACAAAACTTAGCCAGGCATGGTGGCATGTGCCTGTAGTCCCAGCTACTGGGGAGGCTGAGGCAGGAAAATTGCTTGAACCCAGGTGGCAGAGGTTCCAGTAAGCCGAGACTGTGCCACTGCACTCCAACCTGGCGATAGAGCAAGACTCCATCTAAAAAAAAAAAAAAAAGGTAGGAAATTCTCTCTCATTTGCAACAACATGGATGAACTTGGAGGATATTATGCCAAGTGAAATAAGCCAGACACAAAAAGACAGATACCACATTATCTCACTTATATGTGGAATCTAAGAAATTTGAACTCATAGAAGTAGAGAACAGAATAGTGGCTATAAGAGGCTGGGGGAGGGGATGGATGGAAAAATAAGAGATGTTGATCCATGGGTACAAAGTTTCAATTAGAAAAGAGGAATAGGCTTTGGCAGTCTATTGCATAGAATGGTAACTACAACAAATAATAATGTATTTTAAATTTCAAAATTGTTAGAAGAATAGATGTTAAATGTTTTCACCACAAAAAAGTGCTAAGATTGTGAGGTGATTGATTTGTTAATTAGCTTGATTTAACCATTCCATGTGTAAACATATATTAAAATGTAACATTGTATCCCATAAATATAAACAACTATTATCTTTCAATTAAAAAGAAATTAATTTAATTACAGGCCGCGTAATTGTTATGAGTTAAGTAAATAGGGAAACATGATGAAGAGTAAACGTCCTGCTAATGGGGGCTTCCTTCAGTAGGATAGTTTGGAGAAAGCTCATTTTGAGCTGAAACTTGAAGAATAAAAATGAAATTTGAATCTGGAGAAAACACAATTAAGGCCATGGGTCCAGCCAGAAGAACAAAGGAACTCGAAGGTGGGGGTGGGCATGAAGTGTTAAGGCAGTGGTCTAGGAATATGAGCAGACATCTGAACCACCCACAGGGCTTGCTACAATGCAGATTTCTCAATTCTGCCCCCAGTCAGTAGGTCTGGTACAGCCTTAAAGTGTGTTTTTCTCATAAGCTTCCAGGAGATGCAGTTGCTGCTGGTTTAGGAGCAACACTCTGGGAATCATTGTGTTAGGAATTAAAAGCAGGAGAGGGCTGTAGTACTATGAGCTAGGGACATATAGTAAGAAATAAGACTGGAGAAGGAGGCAGGGGCTCTTAGGAGCTCAATCGAAAGGAAGTACAAGGTTTGTTCCAGGATGATGAGAAGTTGAAAGTTCTGTTAAGTCCTTAGTGACAATACTGTTCTTGAATGCTTACAATGTAGTCAGTCTTCCAGTACTATCTGATTCTACATGGCCTTTGCCCCTTAATGCAAGTGAAGCAAATTCAGTGGAATTAATAAATAACCTATAATCCCCGCCCTGTATTTGGTACCTGATGAACTTTTGAAAAACGGAAAAGATTGCTCACTTTGCAGAGTGGAGACATGCTCCTACATTCAGGTTTTGGAATCATGGTACAGCAAATCAAGGGTGGTTACAATTCAGGTCACCCCAACATTTACTGATACACTGTTTCTGCACCTGCACAATAGACTTAGTGCCACAAGGACCTAACCAGAGAATATTACCTGATTTCTAATAGCAAGCAGCTTTCAAACTTTTGATGATAAAATAGTAAAAACATAAAGCAATTAGAGGATCATATGAGGAGAAGACAGTGCAATGCGTAATAAAGTGCTAAATTGAATATTATATACAAAAATTAATGATGCAGATAAAAATTGCTATGGCCACACAAAAGTGGGAGAATTATTGTTTGAAGTTATTGACTAATGTTTCATTTGAAGAAGGCATTCAGGCTGGTCCTTAGAAAATGGTTAAAATTTGGCAGTTAGAGGGAAGGCAAAAGACATGGAAAAGGCTTCATCTTTAGATTCAATCAACATTCAAAGAATTATTGTGTTTTCCCAGAGTTTTTGCTGTTTTACTGCCATTGACAGTAAAACCTTCCATGTGTTTCTGATTATTGAGTACAATTGAATTACTAGCCAATTGTATGGTGAGCGTTGTTTGGCCAGGGAGCCCCTGTGGACTTCTCAGAAGCTTTTATCCTTTGAAAGAAGCTGTCCTGATTTACCATTGTTAATGAAACTTGTATAACACAATGCTCAAGTTTAAGACCCACTGAGAACATGACCACATACCTCCTTTCATCTCTACATGGGGCAACCACATGGCCAATAGGAGCTGCAGAAACCCAGCAGCAGTGCGGTAACCCCAGCGTTAGTAATTGTTTTGAACTTTCTTATGTCATGTCCTCATAGCATTGTATTATGAGTGATGGCCTGCCCTGCTTCCACCCTTCATGAATAAATGCAAAACGCCTTGCCACCCAGAAGACGAACCCTTTGTAGTCGTGCATCTCTTTTGAACATGCATCTTTAGGACCCTGTGTTCTTTCATTTCAATATTCTTGCTTTTGTGAGGCTTAGGTTAGAAACTGTGAAATATGCTGTTATTGCAATGGTTATATGTTTTACTCTGTGATGTGCTTTTATGCATTAGTTCCTGACATATATTTGGTGAGTCAAAGGACTCATCTCCTTTGCTGAGATTCTCTGGGAAATTCATGGAGTTATCCTGAATATTAAGATATTTCCTGTGAGCCCAGATACTCCTAAAGGTATAGATTTATCTTTAATCCCAAAGTTAAGGCAGAAAATATCAGAAAAGAGAGAGAATGGTTGAAGAGAAGTGCCAGGCTGACCAAAAGAGAGAGTTTAATGGCAATCTGTAAGAGACAGATCATCAAAAAAATTTTAATGCCCCCCTCATATCAGTGAAAGATTTTGAGAATACCTTCAAAATAAGTAAACTTATTTATAAGTTATATACATGTACTATTATTCTTATATATTAACATATGAAAGACACACAGAAATAGAAATAATTTAGAATTAAAAGAAACACAATTTCTAATATTTTCTTTCTATAGCACAAATGATTCTCTTTTGCATGCTCCAGTGCACGCACACTCCATTTAAGAGAATTTGTTTTTAACCGGGCGCAGTGGTTCAATCCTGTAATCCCAGGACTTTGGGAGACTGAGGCAGGCGGATCACGAGGTCAGGAGATCGAGACCATCCTGGCCAACATGGTGAAACCCTGTCTCTACTAAAAATAAAAAAAAAATTAGCTGAGTGTAGTGGTGTATGCCTGTAATCCCAGCTACTCGGGAGGCTGAGGCAGGAGAATAGCTTGAAGCCAGGAGGCGGAGATTGCAATGAGCCCAGATGGTGCCACTGCACTCCAGCCTGGCGACAGAGCGAGAGTGTCTTGACAACAACAGCAAAAGAATCCATTTTTCGAATACCTGGAGGAGCAGTGTGCTGTAGTGTAATGGCTCTCAAACTTCAGACTGCATTCGAATGTTCCGGAAGCTTATAAAAACAGATGTATGCCTCCCTGCAAAAGTTTCTAATTCAGTGGGTCTGGGGTGAGCGCCAAGTGTTTGCATTCCTGACACATTCCCAGTTGGTGGTCATCTGAGAACTACACGTTGAGAACCACTGGTATAGTCAACAGCATGGGTTTTAGAGTTAGTTTACCTAAGTTGGACATCAGCATCCTTCAATTAATATGTGACCTTGAGTAAATTACCGTGCCTTCCTGAGCTCAGTTTTTTAAAATCTGTAAATTGGAGGTAATCATAATTACTTAACTCTTAGAGTACCTAGAAAGCTCAGTGAGATAATGTAAATACATTGTTTAGTACCCAGTACTCCCCTCCTACAAAACATCAACACATGCTGGCTGCTAAATCCTCCTTCTTCTCCTTCTCTTCATCATTATCAATATCATTAAACATCTTTTTTATGTCACAAGGTAGACATAGGGACTTTTGGTTTCAGGATTAAAAAAACACTGTGCCTTAATTTATAAGAATCATGGGAATGAATTTTTTTTCTGCATTAGCATTCTACATTAAAAAGACTATAATCCAAATGAGATATCTTTCTAGTTGAAAGGTAGAGATGAAGCTATTTTGCAAAGTCAACCCAAAGGAGAACAGTGTGTTCAGCCTTCTCCCTTCTGTGTGTAACTGTTGATAGTTTGTGGCTAAGTGTGTATTTCCGTCATCTTTTGTATATACTGAGTTTTTGTTGCATGAGACTGAGTTGACAATTTTGGTGCTGTGTCTTCAAATGTTTGGGGGCATGAGAATGGTAAATTCAGGTGATTTCTTTGAATCTAATTTTTAACATTTCTTCTCTCTCTCCTTTTTCTTTTTCCCCCCTCTTCTTGTGCATCACTAGGACCCAGTACCACCTGCCAGGAAGATTCATGTGCCAACCAGGGGGTCTGCATGCAACAATGGGAGGGTTTCACCTGTGATTGTTCTATGACCTCATATTCCGGAAACCAGTGCAATGATCGTAAGTACAACAGCTTTTCATACTGGAACTTTGTCAAGGTGTTCGGAGATTTGGAGAATCTTAAGGGACAATGTATAAAATGATGACTCTTCTGAAAGATTCATAAGTAATTCTCTCCTCCAGGAACTTGGGAAGTAAATGACTAGTGTTCTTATGAGACGAGTGAAGAGATGTGTCTTGTTTAACAACACTAAATGTTCTCCCACTTGCTTACTCCCTGTGTTTTTTCTTTAGATTAGAATAGTGACTGACAAAAACAATAACCACAGCAGCAAAACCAATTCAGGCAATATTTTTGTTGTAAGGGCTTCAGGTCTTCATAAATTAAATCACCTTATCTTATTGAATTTAACTCCAAATTGGTAATAATTTTGAGACTCTCCCCTTTTGCATTGCCTAGAATGTTGAGGTTATTTAAAGGGTATAGCTGTTTTCTCAAAAGGTTTGAGTTATCTGAATTTCTTAGGCCTTCCAAATGACAAAGATATTCAAGAGTTTACTTTTTACAATTAGCAAAGCTTAAAGCATTCTTGGGTATCTTTCAGGTATAGGGCAGAAATTCTCTCTGACTAAATTTATTAGTATCTGGTTTTTATACTTATAGCTATTCTGTATGTTTGTGTGTGTATATATGTGTGTGTAGATACATGTATGTATGTATTTTCTATTTTGTGAGTGTGTGTGTGTGTATATATATATGTATATATAGTGTATTTGGTTTTTATTGGAAGAGAGTCTTGTGATTGTTAATTGTGTCCACTAGTGCTGCTTCTGGTTCATGGGTTTAGTTCTGACTTCATGAAGGTGCTTCTAGCACTGGTGGTAAAGATGCTTCAATGCTGTGGGCATCTATAACCTGTGTCTCCACTTCTTTCTCATGTTGTTTTCTTGATGTGGCCATAGTAAAGGTGAGCATACAGTAGAAATTTCTGAATAACTACGTCTAAGTGATTTGTTGAAAATCCCTGACTTAGTGGGTCCTACTAACCTTCTGACTTTCTAAATGCAGCCTTGGTTTTATAATCCAGACTCATTTGACCTCTTGATTTTAGAAAAATGATGTATGACATTATCTGAAAAAATAGTAAAGTCACATTATGGCGTGGCCACATGGGAACAGACACCAGTTATAATGCTATGCCCCCTAGATCTATGTGGTTTTCTTGATTCTTTATTTCTCAGTTTATTATCCGTGTGCAGCTGTCTGTTGTTGTTCTTTTTCCCATTTTTCTTAGTAGTTTTGGTCCCATATGCTCTTTCATTCTCTTAAGGTACACTGAGGAGAAACAAGTGGAGAAGTTGGCAATATAGAGAGAAAATTATGTAATACACATTCATCTAATTACATAAGCATATGCCTCTGTATCTGTCATGCAAAGGATACAATGTCTGGAGAAAGTTTTGGCATAAGATTGCTCTTACCAAGTCTTTTGGTATTATTGAAAGTCACGTTGCCATACTTATGATGTGGAAATACTGTTTCACTCTGAAACAGGTAGTTATAAACCTGAGGAATTATACGACATGGTCTTTCTTTTTCCTCCAATTTGTCTGTATAGCACTCACTAGGAAGGCTTTTTTCTCTAAATGGTGGCATAATGCTTCTTTATCCTCACAAGTTTATTTCTTGTCACACATACATCCCACTCTGGGTTGAAAATGGTCATGAAGAGACTCCCCACACAGAACAGGTATAAAGGTAAGTTAGCCTAACATGGTGAACATGCACAATCTTCAGAAGGTAGGTGTGTCTTTTTCTATCTTTGACAAGTTCCTGTCTGTCACCCAATACCAGGCATTATTTTCTGGTAAAACACAGGAAGGATTCTTTCTAGCATTCTGTGACTGTTTCTGGTTTTATCAAGAGCAGATTATGTCTCAGTCTGGGATGTGGAGTATTACATTGTCCGACTTGGGGAATTTGTTGGGATATAATGAAGCACTAGAACTTACATTGGGAAAATGTCAGCTTTCCTTTGTGGCAACAGTTTATCATAGTTCAGAAATATTTCTAGTAAATCTAGGTTTAGGGCAATACATTTTGAATTTTGTTCTTTAACAATGCAGCTAAATATTTTCATTGTAGCAGACTTGGGAACCTACATCTCTAACAGGAGCTACTTGCCTAGTCCCCCACGTGGAGATTGGACCACGGCTTCTGTGATTGGATAGATATATGCAAATAATGAAGTACACTTCTTTTTTTTTTTGAGATGGAGTCTTACTCTGCTGTTGCCCGGGCTGGAGTGCAGTGTCGCAATCTCGGCTCACTGCAACCTCCACCGCCCAAGTTCAAGCGATTCTCCTGTCTCAGCCTCCCAGGTAGCTGGGATTACAGGTGTCCGCCACTATGCTCTGCTAATTTTTTTTGGTATTTTTTAGTAGAGACGGGGTTTCACCATGTTGGCCAGGCTGGTCTCGAACTACTAACCTCGTGATCCGCCCTCCTTGGCCTCTCAAAGTGCTGGAATTACAGGGAAGTACACATCTTAATTGTGGAGTGTGATAAATATATAAAGTTAAGACATAAAGGATGTGACTGTGAAGTTTGAATATAAGCTTTTAATGAAATCCAACCAAATCTAGCAGAATGGTAGATTGCTTAAAATGATTACATTGGACATTTCTGTTTCCAATAATTGGTATTCAAGGTATCTGGAAGACCTTCTCTTTTGGAACTAGCATCAAAGCCAGTTTGTTCTACCTAGAATAAGCAGTCTCACTATATCATAGGACATTATTTTCTATGTCAGTCTTGACCCTTAGAATTATAATTGGCTATTTCATCTCACAAACATCTTCAAAATGAAGTTCCCTGTATGACATTCTATGTGCTTACCTTTGTTGATAAATTTTTGGTGGTGTATCCTGTATCAGGATTCAAGTATCAACCTTCACCGTCACCAGTAGACTTGAATAGGCTCATGCTTATCATCAGCAAAGAGCAGTGGGGGAAATTGCAAAGAAAGAAGATATAAGTTCATGGAGGAGGAAGAATAATGACGAGAAGGAATATAAAGAAAATCAGAAAATGGGTCATATATGGAAGAGCACAGAGGTCATTAACAATTGCTTTGGTAACATGCCTGCCACAAGTGGCCTGCCTTTGACCTAAATAACAGAAATGGGTCACGGCATTAAAAATCGAGTGCCATCAAGGAAACCTGTCCTTTACCTAATTAATTCCTGCAAAGAGAATGTTCTATAGAATGTTGCATATAGCTCAAATAAATTGTATCCATTTAAATGCTATCATAGGACCATGCAAATAGGTTAGAGATCAAATTTAATTGCAAAAAGCATTTTATGGGGAAAAAGAAAGGTTATGGATATCTCATTTTCCAGGAGCTGTTTCTCAGGGCAACAGATTGATCCTCAATTAATGAACATGAAAACACTTCAGTTTATTACTGTGTATCCAAAAACTGAAACTTACTCAACAGGGAAATAGCTAGGTCTTACATTTTCCAAAAAAAGGTACTTACTTCATCATGTGTAAAAACATTAATCATATCTAGGCATGACTTGTAAGGGTCTAAAAATGTCTACATTTTAAGGTGTTGCTTTTTCCTAGCATTGGTTCTTTTATGATCTTTGTGTTTTTCTTGCCTATTTACCCAATACATTTGCCTGACAATTTTAATGTGCTGTTACATAGATGTTGCCTCTGTGAGTAGAGTGTACATTTTAAAACTTAGTCTCATTTAGTGTGAGTAGGCCAAGCCTGGATGTTTTCCACTGTATTTCTTTATTCTTTGTGTGACCCTGGTGGGTTGATGGAGGCAGTGGGGTGAATTTCAGTTTCACTCTTATAAACATAGCTGTGCAAAGCTGATATTCTTTAGAGCTGATTGTCTTGTATAAGTGTGATTCCCTTGTATGGGGTTAGGAAACAAAAATCCTCTGATTGGAAACCTAAGTGTAATTGATTTGCTAATTTTCTTACATAGTTTTAGATATGACCTTCCACAATGTTACATAATGGGGAGTTTCTTTGGGGTTGACTTTTAGGGCTGTTTTGATTCTACAATCTAATCATCCCTGAAGAAATTTTGAGTTAATGTAGAAATCAGTATGATCTGTGGAAGAACACATAAGTAACATTTTCCAAGATTATCTTCAGTTCTTGTGAAACATTTAAAATTGAGGGAGTTGGCCATTCCGAGGGTGAGCACCACCTGAAAATCAACTTAATAAAAGTTGTCTTCGACTATATTTTAAGAACAATAAAAGAAATGGAACCTTACCAAGGTTCTTATAGGAATATTCCTTTTTGATATTGGGTTCTTATTAGTATTTTAAATCAGGACTGAGAACCTGGGAAATAATAGCATGTTGTAGCCATGGCAGCACCAGGGAAATCCAGAATCTCCTTCCCATATTTTGTGGTAATATCACTGTCATTGTCAGCTTGCTGTTGAGTTTTTCTTTCCTTCACAGCATCGAAAAATGTTGTATAGAATAGAACCCTCCTGAATGCACCCACACATGTACAAAAGGGTTGTCATTTTTATGGACTTTGTGAAAATAGCAGTTTTAAACATTTCATACCTATCCTTAACAGTATTGTTGCCTTTTACCATGTACATGACAACTGTTTTGAGTGTCATGTAATTTGGGGGTCTCGTTATTGCTTCTTGTGGCCTGTAGAAGCACATATAGGACAGTCTTCAGCACATGAGTTCTTAACACATATCACGTTCTTGAGTTTAGGAAGTGGGTGCTCATCGTGGCTTTGTGGGGTGAAGTAAAGGGAATGAACATGGGTCCTCAGCCCACTCTTAGGAGCCGGCCACCCTGTGCTACATTGCTAGTCACACATTGCAGGACTGCCTGTTGGAGAAATTGCTAGGTTCACACTGGCATGTGATAATAGATGTTCTTTGCTTGCAACAAATCAATAGCAAGCAGCTGTGGATCGTGCCAATAGTGGAGTGTAAAGCGCCTTTTTCAGACAGTTTTCTGCAGGAGTGGCTGTTAAGCTGCACTGTTGGCTATTGATTGGCCTTTTGCTTTTTATTTATTGTGTGGGTTTATTTTTTAATGTAGGTTGGTGTATTGATTAAATCTGTTA